TTGGATTCTTGCCCTTTGCATTTAATTTCTTGTTGTGCCTGATGGATTAATTCTGCTGGGCTTCCTGGGGTTGTGATCCTCACTGTCTCTCCCCAGGATATTGTTTAAAATTTTTAGGTATTCATGAAGTTCCTCAGGTGCTCTTTGTCATGAAAGTATCTTATTACTCCATCAATTTTGAAAGACAATTTTTCAGGGTGTATCAATCTGGGTTGGAGGCTATTTTCCTCTAGGGCTTGAAATACTTCATTCTAGGCTCTTCTGGTCTTGAGGGTTTGTGTTGAGAAGTCTGCTGTGATTCTGATGGGCTTTCCTTTATTATGTGATTTGTTTCTTTTCTCTAACTGCTTGTAGAATTTTGTTCTTCTGTTGGGTTTCTGGAATCTTAACTGTTATATGGCTAGGCTTAGATTTTTTTTGATCATGGCTGGTTGGAGTTCTTTATGTCTCATTTATCTGTATGTCAAGTTCTTTTCCCCTACTTGGGAAGTTTTCTGCCATTACTTCTGTGAATAGGGTTTTTTTAATGTCATTTGCACTCTCTCCTGTTTTTTCACTGACTCTGATCAGTCTTATGTTATTCTTCTTTGCATTGCCTAGCAGCTGCTGGATTTGATTTCTCCTGGTCCCTTACTATTTTTGAGAAATTTTTCTTTTCCTGGTCACTAATTGCAATCCTGTCTTCTATATCTGATATGCTGTCCTCACATTGGCTCATTCTGCTGTGTAAACTTGCAATGGAGCTTTTAATCTCCCAGATATCTGTTTTCATCTCTTTCATGGATTCCATTTATTTCCTTTGCTGGGATTCCATCATGTTCCTCAGCTCCTCTATTTTTTTTTTTTTATCTGTGTCTGCTCTAGATTTATTAATCATGTCTTGCACTATGGGCACAATCTCTGTTGTTATCTGAGAAATCGTCTGATTTCATTTTTTCCAGATCCTCTTTCCTTGCCAGTTCAGGGAGTCCAGGTGGTTGAGTATTAGATTGTTCCATCTCATTGCCCTTTGGGGTTGCCTTAGGTGATCTGGAAGTCTGGTTTTGAGACTTGTTTACATGTCTTCTCATTTCAACAGATGCAGCCTGCTATGCCTTTGCTGAGGCAACTTTTTGCTCATCCAGTGGTCTTCAATTCTCAGCAAGCCACTGAGTGGCCTTTTCTCTGCTGTTCATCCCTGTGCCAATTCCTGGATTCAGAATGGTGGCTTTCTGGATTCCTGCACTGCCCTGTTGTCCATGTGGCATTCTGGCTGGGGCCTGTGCACACTTGGGATGGTATCTGGGCATGCCTCTGGCTATGGCTACTGCCTGGTCCCCTACATAGCTGTTGTCTGGGAGGGCCTTTGGCTGGGGGCTGTGCACCCCAGTCGCTGGTCTGAGTGGGTTTCTGCCTGGGGTCTGCATGCACTTAAGGATGGAATCAGGGGATGCCTCTGGCTGTTGCTTGTGCACCTGTGCAGCTATTTTCCAGGCAGGAGTTTGGCTGGGCCTGTGGTTCCAAGCTGCTGTGGTCAGGGCAGGGCCCTGGCTAGGACCTGCCAGCAACTGTGCCACTCTGGTCACCATGGGCTTCTAACTGGGATCTGGGTGCTCTTAGGAGGGAATCTAGGTGGGCCTTTGGCTGTTGCTTGTGTGCCTGTGCAGCTCTTTTCCAGGTGGCCTTTTGGCTGGGCCTTTGGCTCCAAGCTGCTGGGGTTGGGGCAGGGCCTTGGCTAAGACCTGCCACCAACTGTGCCGTTCTGGTCACCGTGGGCCTGTTTGGGTATTCTTTTTGCCAAATGGAACAATCAGATCAATGAATAAAAACTTCAATTTAGCTTTGCATGGAGTTTCAGGATTCACACAAAGTACATATACACATATAGGCCACTAATGGTAAGAAAACTCTTCTATCTTCTCTAACTAGTCAAAATCTCCAAGATAATGCTTGAAGACTGTGGATATACTGTTAAAGAAGACATAAACAGACTTTCTCCCCAATGGACAAAGAATGTCCCCTGCCCAGGCCATTTGTGCGTTAACATGGCCCAAAACAAATGAAAATAATACAAACAAATCAATGTGTCAGTCAAGAAGACATTAACCAACATCTACACCAGTATATAGATTATCCAAAACATGAGGAAAGGCTTTTTGGGATAGATGCAATATGTGAGAGTTAAAAAGAAAATTAGAAATGATTTTAGAAAAAAGAAAAAAATCAGAACTTTTTGGATTTCCTTATACTTATTTATAACTTAGTATTTGTGTAATCTGAGATACATAGTGCATTCACTGCTTAGACATTCTAAAAATCTTATCTCAGCCCTATTAAAAGGGCATATTCAAACAAATTCTTTTGGTTTTTTGTTTTGTTTTGGTTTACTTTTGTCTTTTTTTGTTATTTTTTATAGTACTGGAGATTAAAACCAGAAGCACTCTATCACTCAGCTATATCTCAGCCTTTTTATACTTTCCTGAGACAGGGCCTCAGTTGTTCAAGGCTGGCCTTGAACTTTCAATCATCCAGCCTGACCCTCTGTAAGTAGGTGGGAGTATAAGCATGTGGCACTGTACCTGACTAGTTTTTGATGATTAGTTTTAATGACAAGAGAAAAGTTAAGGTTAGAATACATGATTTCATTAAAAGATTTATTTTATTAAAACATCTTAAATATTTTTCTGACTTCTATAATAACTGTGGCACAGGAATTGTCCATATTTAATCACAGAGTGATTTATTGAATAAAGTGAATTTTATTAACTTCACAGAAAGCAAATGTTTTAACAGTGATGAGCAGTAGGTAGCCACTTCTTGAGTTTCAGAGGACTCAAAGTATTTTATGCCTTTGTTGAGTGTCAAGGTGTGTTAAATATCAAGGCTCTCTGAAGATAACAAGAGGCCTTTCCAGGATAACTGAGGGACTGGGCAGAATGAAGGGGAACCTGAAAACATTTCCAGGCACCTTGTGAAAGATATCAGTAATCATAATAACAACAGATAACATTTAGTGGGCAGTAAAATGCTCTAAATGCCATATTAAGAATTTTATAACTTTAATTAGAACAATCCCATACATTAATTTTTTACTATTACTTCAAAACTCCAGCTCTGAGCACTTATGGTAATTTTCCCAAGATCACATAGTAGGGCTTAAATTAGAACCAAATCTCTTCCTCATGCAAAAATCAACTTAAAAATTAAGACATAAAACTCTGAAATTATTAGAAGAAAACATAGGGGAAATTCTTCAAGATACTGGTACAGGCAACAATTTCTTGTATAGGATTCTAACACCCCAGGAAACAAAAGAAGAATCAAAGAATGGAATTATATCAAATTAAAGAGCTTTTGCACAGCAAAGAAAACAATAAACAGAGTGAAGAGACAGCCTACAGAGTAGGAAAAAAATCTTTGCCAGTATTCACCTGAGTAGGATTAATATCTAGATTATATAAAGAACTTTAAAAACTTAACATCGAAAGATCAAATAATTCTACTAACAATGGGCAAATGATCTCAACTGATACTTCCAAAGAAGTATAAATGGCCAATAAATATATGAAAAAAATGTTCAGTATCTTCAGCTATCAGGCAAAATGAAATAAAACCTACATTGAGATTCTACCTCATCCCAGTCAGAATGGCTATTATTTGAGAAAAAAAAAAGTTCTGGTGATGATGTGAAGAAAAAGAATCCTTACAGACTGTTGGTGGGAATTTAATTAGTATAGCCACTATGGAAAACAGTACGGAGCTTCCTCAAAAAACTAAAAAAAGAACTACCGTATGATCCAGTTATATGATCCAGGAACGCCTGGGTATTTAACCAAAGGAAATTAACTAAACATACAGAAAAGATACCTGTATGTCCATAGTTTACTACAGCACTAGTAACAATAGCCAATATATGGAATCAAACATGTTGCCGTCAATAGATGAGTGGATAAAGAACATACATTCTTTATAATAATACAAGGGAGTATTATTCAGCCATAAAGAAAAATGAAATTATATCATTAGGCAGAAAAACTGATGAACCTAGAGATATTAAGAGAAATAAATCAGACACTAAGTACCACATATTATCTCTTGTATCTGAAAACTGAAACACACACATAGACAAAGAAGACTTGAAAGTAGAAGAGGAATAATTAGGAAAGAAAATGATCCACGAGCAGGGGAAGAGAAGGGAGGGTGAAAAAGGGTAGAAGGGAGGATGAGCATGACCAAAGCATGATACATGCATGTATAGAAGCATCACAGTGAAACCCATTAATTTGTACAACCAATATTCATTAATAAATGCTAATAAAAATTAAAACCAAATCTGTCTGAGTCCAGTGTCTGAGATTTTAACCATTATATTATACTGGGAAAAGGTAAGCCTGTGTCTTTTTATAAACCAGGTAATTATCACTTTTAGTAACAGAATGTCTTCTTTGACTGGGTTATTTTTGCCAACTCTATAGCAAATGTCTTGCTGTTCCCACACTGTTAAAACTATAGTGATATGTTGATATAAAATCCCACAAGGTAATTATAATTAAATTCAAAAGTATCTTATAAATTTCCAGCTATCAGGAAAAGAACTGCAAATGGAAATACAGCAGTTTCTTTTTTAGTCAGTGTATTATAGAAGCTTTTTAATGATTCAATTTTATGTTTAGGTGCCTCCAGGGATGTTATTATGGCAAGAAGTATTTTAAGAAAAAAAAAGCAACTTCATTTTGAAAGAAAATAGGTTTTAACTTTTTCTCTTATTCAACTCATATGAATGAAAGCTGTTACTTGTAGAAATGCTGTGATAGCAAGATTAAACGGGCTATAAGGAAAACAAACTCCAAATAAACACAGTAAAAAAGGATGAGAGGGAGAGAGAAGACCAGTTTCTTAGAAAACTGATCTTTTTCTATATGCAAGAACCCAGGAAAGACAAAGGCTATAAGGTGAATTATTTCAGTTCTGAAGGCAGAGAGGTAAGGTAGTTTGTCAACTTAAAATAAAACCAGACTTACCTTTAGGAGAGCCAAGGCTACATGAAAGATAATGTTCAATCCCTGAAATAGAAAATAAGAGAGTAAAAATCAATTCCTTCACATTTATCACTTTTATTATTTTTCCAAGACTTCCATAAATCTTTAATAAAATTCCTAATTGGCTTCATTTTCACATACAATACTAATTAAATCATGAGTTTTTTTTAAAAAGGTACTTTAAGATTTTATTAAAGTATTAGGTATATTTTGTAAATAGTCATATAAAGGGTTTTTATTATTGCAATGAATCATCTTTCTTCTGTACATTTCTGGGTTATTTGCCTGTGTCCAAAGTTTGTGAAAGTCAAGTTTCTTGCTCAAGAAAGCAAAATGATGCTGAAGTCTAAAATTACTAATTGAAATTCCTGATCCTAGTCTGGATATTTAGGTATTATAGTTAAACTATCAGGAGCAGACAAAATGAAACAAGACTGTGCTCCTAATGAGCAGATTACTGTATAGGAGGAGCTTTAAGTATCACATAGGAATTCCAGAATTGTTCTTAGTGTTTTGCTTTAGTGCTGGCTTTCAAGAATTATTTCTACAACCACAGGTGGTAATTAGGGGCTATCTGCTAGACTTCCTTTTCCTTTTCTTCCCTGAAAACCAGAGCACTGTACCATTAGTAATAAATAAACTAAACAGCTCTTGGAGAAGCCATATTTGAGACAAGGTCTGAACTCTGGGCTCAGCCCAATGACTCTGAAGAGATGTTGAGCTATTAAATTCAAGAGACAGGGAATCTTATGTGTTTAAGACAAAAGAATAAGAAATAAGCCTGGTATGAAATGTGCTTTGCTGTTTCCTTACCATGAAAGTTATTATACATGAGAAGAAAGAGTTTTCAAGTATTAGTTAACATCTCCCATAAGTCTAGGATCTATTTAATGTTTCCTCTTCATCTTGGTCACAAATATAATCCACTTGCCTTTTGGATATTAATACCAAAGGTATTGATACCAAAGGCAAAGAATTTCTAATAAACCATACACTTTCTGTCTCCAAAATCAGAAGTGATGATTAGGACCAGACACACAGGATGTATTCCTGTTGTGATTTGCTGATGTAAACTTTCACATTCAGCCACAAAAAATATGATACAAAAGCAGAAAGAATAAATAATCAACACAAAATATTTGGTTGTGAAAAATATAAAATAAACCAAATATTTGGATTTGGGTTATTCAGCTAATTCTTTAAGAAACTGAAGGCAGCAAGAAGTGTAATTAAGACAGGAGGCAAAAACAAATTGACATATTACCATACTAAATGTTGATTTTAGACTAGTTATAATATTTGCCAATTAGAAAAAAGAAAGACTACTCTAGATCAATATACAATTAAGCAAAATTTTTAAAAATTGGGTTACAGTTAAGCAAATCTAAATTTAGGTTTTCACTCACTAGCTGATGCCCACCTCCCAAAATTTGCAGGACAAAATAAAGCCCTACCACCCTGCTTCATGCTTATTAATCTACCATCAGAACTAAATCCAACATGTCTCTGGTTCTTGTTTTTTCAGTCAATGCTCAAACTGTAAGTCCCTCTGTCTCTAGTTCTGTAATTTTCACAGTGCTCTGGACCTTTCTCCTGAGCAAGTTTCCCACTCCTCTTCTCCTTCCCAAATCTTTTTGCTTTACTCTTCAAAAATGATGCTGCATATTCAACCAGCCCTGCTGTCATTACTCTTTGTCTACTTTTCAAACATTCTCCTATCTCCATGCTTCCACAGCAACAGTAAAATCTCACTGAGTCTTGTAACTTGTACTATGATTCTCATTTTTCAAAATATGTGACTAGCCCTAAGTTACAATGTTGGGGACCAGACTATCTGAGGAATTACTGGGGGCCAGATGGTATGACTAGGCCAATGTGACCAGCCTTGGGAAACAGAAAAACATACAGAAAGCTGTGTGCTTTCTGGCTGTGTGGGAATGCTTGTAACCACAGTACTTCCAAGGCACGATAACAGCTACTGAGGACAATGTAAAGAATGCTGGTTCTTTAAATTAACTTGGGCAGGCATCTGGGTATATGGAAGAACCTGTTCCCTTTCACGCACTTTCCTTGTGAAAGTTTAATCTGTTCCCTATTTTTCAAAGTATCTTTTCAACTTCTATCGTTCCACAAATGACTCACAAACCCCTCTCCCTGTGGTTCTTCCTGGCTAATAAAAGCGGGTTAACCATGGAAACTGTCAAGAGGCAGGCTTGCCCTGGTCTCCCTTGCATTTTGAATATTGTTTCTGTTTCTCTTTATTCCTCATCCACCCCTGTCAGGCATCCAAGGGTCTGTGATCAGCCCCTGGCCCTACACATTTACTTAATTGCAGGTGGGGGCCTCCCCTCAAATATCCTGATGTCTAGTCTGGTGACATTTACACCAAACACTCTAGTGCAGTGTATATAGGAGCTGCTTATTTGATGAGCCACCGTAGCAATCTTAAATTTTCATAGGCTAACATTTACTTAATCTTCAATCGTCACGTTATTTTCTGTAGACATTTCCATGATTTAACCTCTGCCTAACTGAACTGAAATATCTTTAATTTTATTTTTTTTAGTTTTTGGTACCAGGGATCGAACTAAGGACCTTGCATTTGTGAGGCGGGTGCCAGAACCACTGAGCTAAATCCCCGGCCCTCTAATTTTATTTTTAAGTTTTTTTCAGTACTGGGGATTGAACCTAAGACCTTTGCACTGATATACCCAAGCTCTTTAAAAAAAAATTTTTTTTTTTTAAATTTTGAGACAGGGTCTCCTTATATTACTGTTTCCCAGGCTGGGCTTGAACTTGCAATTTTCCTGCCTCAGCCTTTCAGAATACTGAGATTACAGGCATGTAATCACCCCTGTCATCACCTCTGGCTTGAAATGTATTTTTATTTATTTTTTATTTTTTTTTGGTACCAGGGATTGAACTCGGGTCCTTGCACTTGTGCAGCAGGCGACGAAACCACTGAGCTAAATCCTCGGCCTTGAAATGTATTTTTAAAAGAAAAAATGTCAGGCATGTCCAAGATGCTTCCCCTTTTCAGGAATATGTAATCTCTAGCAAGTTGTTAGTAATGGGTAAACACGTATACTTAGTAGGACTCAAAGGTCTAAAAGAGTTGAAAAATTACTGAGTGAAAAATAACTCATTAATTTGTTATGGCAATTTATTTATAGAATAAAGTCTAATTTATAGGCATTTATAACACAAGTGCAAAATAAGAACAAACATCCACAGAGTATTTTGTATGTGTGTCAGATCTGAATTAACTGCATTAAAAATATATCCTTACTTCATCTCACAACAACTCTAATCTCTATTTTACACACAAAGCAATTTATAGAAATCTAAGTAAATTTTCTAAGGTCACAAAGCTAGTAAGTGGAGACCCAAGAGTTTAACCTAAACAGTCTAACCTTAAAAGTCACCACTAAACCATAAGTTAGAACAGATGGCCTAAGGACTAAGTGAATGCCATAGTTCAGATCTTATAGATCCCAAAGGTCCATGTGATAGAGGCTTGTTTCCCAAGGTGGCCCTATTAGGAGCTGGTAGAGCCTTCAGGAGATGAGGTCTAGTGGCAAGTCTTTAGGCAACTAAAAAAGTGCCCTGAAAGGAATGCTGGCACCCTGGTCTCATCCTCTTTCTCTCTTTCACTTCCTAGCCATGAGGTGAGTGGTTTTATTCTACTACATACCCCTATCATGATGTGCTACCCGCCCAAAGCAACAGGTTCAAACACTGGGTGAAACCTCTAAAACTGTGAGCCACAATAAACCTTTTATCTTTATAAGTTGATCATTTCATGTATTTGTTGAAGCAATGGAATACTATCACAATAAATAAATGAATAAGTCCCCTTTTGGGGTACTAGTTAATGTGTTCTCTAGTTCCTAAACAATGAAAGAGATTCCTTCCATTTAAATAAAAGCACATTTTAAGAGCAAAGTAGAAAGACAGCAAATAGAGGACTTCTACCAAACTTGATTTTATTATTTGTCTCCATATTGAAAAAACAAAAAGTAGTTGATTGCTCACAGAATATGTAGAAAGAAAGGGTCACCATCTTCTTCCAAATACAACCGATTGAGATCAGCCTTGTGTGCATGAAGAAGTGACTCCTTAACTGATTTGGATACTGCTGTTTCAAAGTTCAGTCACAGTCTAGCAATATCTTTGCCTTAAGAAACATTTACAGGTATTTGCCCCAAATTGAACAATTGCTCCAAAGTGCAGATCGTGGTGTTCCTGAGTAGGCCAACAACTGAGCACCCACAATCCTGCATAAAATGAAGGCTGACAGTAGAGCACTCTCTGAAACAAAGACACTGAACATTTTGGCTTTGATGAGCAGGCAATCGTGGGTTCAGAGGGAACTGACAGATTGTGTGAGAAGCTGTCAAAAAACTCCTGACAGCCCTGAGAACAAATGCTGAAAGGTAGTATCAAAAAGTGCCAAACATACATCAGCACCTGGGACCTTAGAGATTAAAATAAAATGGAAACAAAGAATATGCAGAAATGGAAATCCTAGCAACAAAGCAGTAAGAAATGATCGAACCTAGAGCAGCCAAGACAAATGGAATTGGCTCACAGACAAAGCCAGAGGAAATGATATGCTGTCCTTTTTGACCCATCCAAAATGGATATTCCAGCCTAGGAAAAGGTAAAGGATATAAAAAGCATAGCAAAAGAATTGTGCGTTTGGAAAATGATATGACAAATGCTAGCAATTACTATTAGGGTCATGTATTTATTGCCTACTATCTCTAGTATTTTGTTTTTTTCACTCAATCCCAGGAACAACTCTGTGGCATATGTGTTACTGTCACCATTTTAGAGATGAGAAAACTGAGTTTCAGAGATATCACACTGTTACTATATGATAAAGCCAGGATTAGAATTTAGGTCTGTCAGACTAAAACAAATCCCAACTCTTTGTACTAATTTTATCTCAACTGCTTATCCAGTATGATTGTGATAGACTTGAAGATGTTCACAATTCTTTGATAAGTCTCCCACTGAAA